TTGATATTATGAAAATTTAATTTCCTAAACTACATTGTACAAGAAATGTACTATAATCGCACCTTAAATTGTAAATTATTTTAAATTAGGGAATGTAAAAATAACTTCAAAAAATCGTCATACCGTGAATAACCAAAAGCTTTTTACACATTGCTCTTATAGACTGTCTGTACAACATTAGATGCCAAACTTAATGGTTCATCATACCTAATTACTGTAATGGAAAATAAGTTTAAAACAATAAGCAACAGCAATCATGTCATAAACATTTACTATTAGGGGTACGATGAAAACAATAAGACAAAAAAAATCATATTTAAAATAATATTCAAAATAATTTAAAAACAATATCCCATTCCCGTGCCAAAAAGGTCTTTAAACTTAAATTGAATTTCTGTTGGAGGAAAAAGAAAAAAGAATTGTTTTTAGGCAAAAGTAAATTTTGTATATGAACAAGTACACAAAGGAAAATAGTATTTTTTTTTGTTATTTGCTTAAATCTAAATGCCAAAGCATTGAAATTAACCATAAAATTTTTTCAAAAACGAATGATCATTAGATAGACATTAATTTTAATTTAAGAAGAAATTACAGAATGATTCGAAAATATTTAAGAATAAATGAATTAATAAGCGGTTATTGTAAAAGCAATAACCTTGTATTCGTATCAAAATTTAATATTAAATAAAAATAAAATATATTTTCAAAACATTGTATTTTGTAATTACAATAATATATCCATAAATACAACCTACAAGTAAAAATGTATGTATGTATGGCCATTTTTAATACCATATGGTTAAAAAACAACTATAAAATTTGCCATTAGAACTGTTAACATTGACTTAAAAATAGGGAAAACTTATGTAGATTATTCTTAGTATTGTGAACACGATATGCGATTCCCAAGAATTTCGCTCTGCCACTCAGACATACCGTAACTGTAGCGCATAGAAATATAAATTTTTTGTTAAATATAAAATTGACATTTGCGTAAAACATCAAAAATGATGGTAACAGACAGTTTTTAAACTCCAACATCGGATGTTTACAATTGAAAATTCACCCCGCGTTCACTTAATGCACCATTAAAAATATTATTGTTACGTAATATGCCATAAAATTGTAATATTGATCATCAAGTATTGAATTAAAAACTGAAAAACTTCGTAATCAATTCATTTTTTTTCTTGACAATATTTAAATACATACATATGCATGTAAATACTCATGTAAAAATCTTCTTGTGCATTTGTAATTGTTATAACATTGTTTATAGACAATGTTATTTTAAAATTCATTTTTTAAGATTAAATTTTTATCAGCTTCAAATTTAAATTTCCAGAAATATCATAATATTATTATTTTTTTAAAATACATATTTAATTACGAGATTAACTTAAATATTCCAATTAACAAAGTGGTTATAGTTCAGCATTATTTTATTTAAATGCACATCTAGCTCACATAGTATTCTCAAGTTACTATTAATTTTTGAGAAATAATTTCCCACGAGAAATAGGTACTATAGTTTATTTTATTATATGGAAAATAAATTTATTCGATATTTTAAAAAAAACAAAAATACAAATAAATATTGCATTTTTTTCAAGGTTCTATCTATTTTCTATATTTATTTATTTTTGATAAAGAGTTGAACACATCTCTGTGCGCATGTATGTATATACATATGTGCATATACATATAAGCAAATAAAAGTACATAAAAAATCTGTTGTCATAACCTTTTTATTTGAGTAATGATTAGATAATATGAAAATATTTGCAACTTAACTAAAAAAATTTCTAAGGTAAAGTCTTGGTTTACAAAAGTTGCAAATTTTATTTGTTAAAAAAGTACCGTCTTTAAAACATTTTAAGTTTTTCTATTTTATCTATGTATGTATTTCACAATGTATGTTATACCTTTAAATTAATAATAATATATATGTAAATAATAATTAATGAAAATAGCCAATAAAAACAACCGAAACACCATATGTGTATGCAACAATGCCTTGCCTCAATGAAATTTTAAGCAACAATGTTTCATCAAATGTTAAACTATTATTGCGATAGAAAGTAAACAAAATAAAAGAAACTCATAAATTTTTTATAACCACAAATAGTAAAATTTTTATTTTTATTTATTAAGAATCTTATCTATGTACATAATGTACATATGTATATACATATATTTTATGTGTTCTTAAAATAGAAAAATTGTTTAAATATACAATGACTGATCGCTTAAGCATTTTACATGGTTGATCGCCGAAATACACGCACACTTACATAAATTATAATAAATTAATAATAAAAACAAAAAACCAAATTATATACTTTAGAACAGAAAAAAATTACATTAAAAATTTTAAGCAAAAATTAAGAAAGAATAAAAAGACCAAGTAAAACCAAAAGTAACGCTTACCAAAAATAACACGACGACATAACACTTAACGTACAATATAATGTTAACTTAAGAAACTTGATAATGTTTTTCATTGTCAGTCATTAATCATTTTTTTTTAAATGTATAGAAGAAGAAATAATAAAAAATGAATAATTTTTGATATTCTATACACAATATAATATTAACTCTCTATGTATATCTAATAAAAATTATTCCATTCCACCACTTTACATTGTTCCTTTAAATACCGATTTATACACAAAAGTATGTAGCTTTTATAATAATAAATTCAAATAATTATATTGGTATGCGTATCCCAGCTTGACAATTATGTATACACATACATATACATGCCTGCTTTATATATGGATCAGACATCATTTATTATTAGTTATCTTTTTAAAAATAATTTACTATCACACTATTTGTATTTAATCATTATGATTGTTACGTAGCATATGATATTCTATTATGCTTTGTTTTGATTTTCATAATTGATGTACATACATATATGTATGTATACATAGATCTAAACTATATACTTATACATATGTACTAATATATTTGGAATTATACACAGTGTGATGGTAATATAACTAGATTTTATAGTTATGTATGTCAATAATGCTGCTTCATGATGGTGCTTAAACTGAATACAGTTAAGTTTGCTTCCCCATAAAAGAACATATAGTAAAATTTTGGAAAACAAAGAAATTATATCGTATTGGGTCAAGTTCAATTTGACCATTATCATTTATATCCTGAATTCTGACAATACTAACTTGCAATTACAGTTACGTAATTAACTATATGTGTAACTGTATACAAATAATACACAAACATATGCACCTATTTCAAAATTCACATTATTACTAAATACTACAAACACACATAATGTATTCACACATACCAAATTACTGGGCTTCCTATATTTTTAAATTCTTGCGTTTCGTGACCTCTTCAAATGAATAGCCATTATGATGTGTATCCTGTGAAAACCTACAAAACCAAACGTCGAAATTCTTACTGACATGACCGTCAAATGTACATAGCTATAATAAAAATTTATTTTATCTTCTAATTTTCTGTTTTAACTTTTTTTTCTTGTTTTGGTTTGTTTACTCATTTTTAGTTGCTCAAAAGCGCTGACAAAAAACAAACAGCATGTTATTTTGCCTTGTTTTTTTTTTTATTTTTGCTATAATATTGTGATCTTCCGGACACAAAAAAACTCAATAAAATCGTATAGTTTTGGTTTTATTGAAAAAATTTAAAGTTTTTACAATACACAACATAACCATTCTCTATTTACAAAAATTTCAAGCACTCAAAATATTAAAAGAACACTAAACACAGTATGAAAATATCATGCAACAATTTTGATGTTAAAGTTCTTGTAAAAAATGTGGAAGAAAATCTATCGCACTTTAAAAATTAGTCGCATGATATTTTTTGTAGGTTACATAAAATTCTCGATTTCCTCATACTCATAAGTATTTCACTATTTTTATTCTTTCTTTTTCTATTCTTATTTTCAAGCTTTCATTAAGTACTCTTTTGTTTTAAGAAGTTTTTGAACAACAATTTATTTATGTAGTGTGTGTAGTGATTTTCTTTGCTCTCAATTCGTACTTAATCAGTAGTCATCGAAGCTTAAATCAAAACAAAATAAAACACTTAATACATCAAAACAGAGTGTTGACTTCAAGTTTAGAAAAGTAAAGATTGTTCGTCAATCAAATCACTCTTTACTACTTTTAGGCTATAGAGCTCGAAATACCACATGTTAAATATTTGTTTGCAGTAAAATAATTTTTACACTTTGTTAATTGCATATATTTCTAGATTTAAAGTAGAAACTATTTATATAATTTTTTAACATGAAATTTGGAGAATTTGCCATTATATCACTCAATCCATAAAGATATAAAATTTGAAAGGTAATTGAAAGTAAAAACTTCAAGTTTCGTTTTATCTTAATTTAAAACAAGTTAGTTGAAATTCGTCTGCATAAAGCTTTAAATATTGTAGGTAAAGTTACAAACCGTCCTAAAAATAAAGCTTGAATCCACCTATTCTGAAATTATTCTAAAAGTGAAATAAATATATCTAAAAAGTTACTATATGTATAAAAAATTATTTTATAATTAAATTTACCATTCAAATTTAAAAAAAAAACAACAAAATTAGACATTAATGTGTAGCTGCACTGATACAATTTCGTTGTACATTGAGCATCACTAGTATTTTGTGTCAGACAGAAAATTATCGACAAAAAAAATATTTTTAATTTTGTTCTCTTATTCTCTCAACGAACTTTCATAAGTTTGTTTGAATAGTTGTTGTCTTGTCGTTGTTGTTTTAATATTTTCTTTTCTTTTTTTATTTTTTTTTGCAGCTGTTATAATTATAATTGTTGCTCTTTTACTATATAACGTTCTAAAGTGTTTTTCGATTGTGCTAGTGCTTTGCTTATAAATTTTATAACTAAAAGTAAAATTGTTTTTTTTCTGTCTCCTCTTCATCTTTCTTATGGTATTTTCTGCGACGCGAATAGTTTAGTCTCGCAGTATAGATTTAAGCTTCTTTGAATGAATAAGCATTGGAAAGAAAAGCGTCGCGTGCATGTTTTATTTTCGGTAATTGAAAAGTTTTCTTTTTTTTATTTCTTCTTTGGTTAGTTTTTTTATCGATCTATTTTTCGGTTTTTCTATTTTATTTCGTTTTTACTTTTGTATTGTTTTTTTTTTGGTTTTGTACATCGTACTCGTCGTATAGCGGATAAAAATTGTTTTTAATATTTAATTTTTTTTTATTTCCGTAACTTTAAGACGTTGAATATAATAAAAACAAAGGAAAAAATAATGCCCACAGCTATGATATTTTGAAGCGCGTTTACGCTACGCTACAATTTTATTTTTCGTTTTCTAACAAAAAAAATTGTTTTTTTTTTATTATTTTTAATATTTTTTTTATTAAAAAAAGAAAAATAAGAATAATATGTTTATGTATATTAAAATAAAAAAAAAATATCACAGAATTTAAAAATAATTTATTGCTTTTTTTTCTGGTTTCATTGTGTTATGTGATCTCAAAATTAAAAATAAATATAATTAAAGATTAAAATATAAAAAAAAAATCTGGGAATTTTGTAAAGTTCTCGTAAATAACCGAAATTTTACACCATTGCTAGTTATAACCACCCAACAAAAGAAAGAAAAAAAATATTTATACACTTAAATTATTTTGTTAACTGCAAAAATATTTTGTATAAAAAAAAATTATTAATAAATTAAATTAAAAAATTAATTAAATAAAAAAAATTTATTTATAAAATCATTAAACAAAAAAGTACAGCAAAATTTGTAAAAAAAATTACGTGTAAATTAAATATGGGAATGTACACATTTATGTACGTACATACATTCGTAGCATACACATATACAGTAGGATCTGGATTATGTCACATCGAACAACGCACAGACATTTGTGACGTCATACGAGTTGTGAAAATAAACAGGATCCATTTATAATAACACATATTGGGAAAATAGACGTGGTTTTTTGAATTTCACATAAGAGTTTTGGAAAAATAAATGGAATGAAATTAATTTTAAAATTAACTTAATAATTTTTGCCTTCTTACCTCTATTTTAATAAAAAATTACAAAAAAAATTTCATAAACTCTCTCAAATCTATACACAACATAAATTCAGCCAACATTAGTTGACATTAAATTGAATTTGACAATAGATTAAAATTACAATTATTGGTAAATTATTTTGGTATATTTTGATAAATTTTGGTAATGTAACTCTAAATGACGTAGGTACTTGAAATAAAGTACCTGAACATACCTGAAATGAGAATAGACGGTTTTAAGCGAGTTGTGAAATTAAAAGAGTACCAAGTACATACATGTTACCCTATTTATAGAAAATTATAGAAATTTTTGTGTCATACCTATAGTTTATTTGAAAGTAATCGGGTTGTGATGCTGTCCGATGTGATTTTACGCGAATTCCACTGTAAATATAATAATTTCTTATTCATTTAAGTACGTAGTGAGCTTGTAAATAAAATTAATCTTCATTATATACATACATATATATTATATATATATTCATTATAATATATACATATACATATGTATATATTTATGTATGCATGTTATGTTTAAGTTTATACACATGTACATACATATGTATTTACATGGAATGGAAAACTTAAAAATGAAAGAGGCAACTTATAATTATATATTATTTATTTTTTAATAACAAGGCATTCAATTTTTTCGAAAATTAAATTAAAAATCTGAATGATATAAGTATGTATTTTTCTTGTATTAATTCTTATTCACTCTTCCTACAGCTCCTTAAACTTACTTCGTAACAATTCATTCGCCGGTTTAGATTAGAAATATTGCCGAATTTTATTATTTTTGAAATAGTAAATCGCGAATTAAGCGAAAACTTTAAAATAGCTATGCTTAATAAATTTTACCTTTAACAGACTACATGATATAGATATGTATTGATATATTTACATACATAAGGTATATAATAATTATACATACATTTATGATTAAAATGTAGTCAATATTATATTAAATATCGCTACACAAAAGGCTGTACACAACCATGGAAAAAGATGTACATACCTATACCTACATATACGTATTATATATACAGGCATTTCCATATACTTATATATTTATTAAAACAAGTACGTTTTATTAATTACACGGTAGATGTACAAAGCCACTATTATGTACATAGTATTGAATTAAAAAAAGGGGTTACCAAATATAATACACCTGAATATGTTTAAATATGCATTAAAATAATATACATATTTATTATTATACGTATGGTGATACATACGTACATATGAGTATACGTTGTATATACAACACTTATAGATATTGATTTACTATACTACCTACATATATAACACGGCTGACAGAAATACATATTTTTGTTATGGCAAGATATATACCCAGTTATGTTTATTATAATCTAGATTCTAGAATAAAATCCAAATACACACATATAGAATTTGTATATACATAAATAGATACATAATACTGCACACATATGTTAAATACTTATGAATTATATGATATGCATGAATTATGTACAAAATGTAAACCGTAAATAATATATCTATGCATGTATGTATGTATATACGCCAAGAACCTTCATATAAAATTGCATTTTTAATGGAATATTAATAATATGACGCCGAAAAAAAAATATTTAATAAAAAATAAAATAATTTTTAAAAAGCTATTCACTATTAAAATTTTGACACAATGTTCTAGTTTGCATTGTGTACAATTAAAGCATGCAAAATTAAAACCATAACGTTATAAAAGTCAAGGATTCTCAAACATTTTAATAAAAAAAATATCTGAAATGTAAAAAATAAATTTTATCATAATTTGCTCTTGAGTGTATGAATAAAAATTCTTAAGTTAAAAAGTAAAAGCAAAAGTAAAATTGGATGGTCCAATATAGGCCCCGATCACTATTTAAAAGAAAAGTATTGTTTAGTTTAGTACATTTTAAATTATAAAATTTTCCTGATTTGGTTTATTCAGTGTTAATTCTAATGTTTTTCAATTTCTACTATTTTCAATTATTTCTATTAATCTCGGCCGAAATATTTAAAAATTAAATCTCATTGTAATGACAATCCAGTAGCATAAAATTCCATTCGTCATACAAATTAACAATTTTCTTTTATTACTTAATTAAAAAATAATTTATGTAGATATGTTTAAAAATATCTTGACAAAAAATAAATTGATTTACATTATTATTTATAAGCTAAGAGATGCAAGTTAACTGAAAATTAATAAGATAATAATAAATTTTATTTAATATTATTACTTAATTCTAAGGAAAATTAGAACTTATTATGTTTTTCACCAAGACAGCTCATAAATTGCGCGGTTCTTATCACAATTACAATAATAACAATAATTAATTTTAATTGAGGAAATAAATTGTGTACACAATTATATGAATATGATATACTTTTCGCTTGTATGCTTACATATATTGCAATACAATAAATTTATAAAATTAATAACATACCATATTGAATTTTTAATATTTAAACTTTAACACCTACTTATATATGTAATTTATTATACAAATATTTCAGGTGGAAAAATATGCTGATCATTGTTGATATTTTCTTAAAATATTCCTTGTTATTAAATAAAAACAGAATTTTTAACAAAAATTTAATGACTTTAGGCAATTATAAATTTATTAAAATATTTTGAAAACGGATGTTATTAAAATTAAGGGGATTTTATAAACAAAATGAAGTACTTACCTATGCATATGTAAAAGGTTAGCAACACTGTTGTTTTAAAATTATTAATTAATATTTACTAACTGGTGTAAATTCACACAAACTGATCTTACCGAAATTAAGTAGAGAACTCCAATAAATTTGAGAATTTTGCAATTATGCAAATATAGTATCACCCATATCTTAGTAATGTTTAAGCCTGCAGCATTTAAAATCTAAATTAATAAAATATGCGACGTATAAGTAATTAATGTAATACTAATTTAATAAATGTATGTAGCTGCTGACAAAATAACCTATTGTAAATAATGCACTTGAACTTTTTGGTAGACTTTAGAACTCTTATATTTAAGTAACACTTCTCTTTTAATAATTAACGTATGTATGTATGTATATTGAAAAAAATAAAAATGCTCTTCAACACATTCAGTAAAACACGAATATACACGTACACTATTTTTTTTTTAAGAAAATTCGTTGCATTTACCGAGCATAAAACTTTCGGATACATGCAATTAATGTGAACTTATCACAAACACGTAATTTATTTGCAATTGTTTTTCATCTCATTTTTAATATTAATATTAAACTTTTTACCGACCGTATTGTGTAAACAATAGGTAGGTTATGTGATGGCAACAAATTTTGCATATCGAGTTTTCGGTGGGAATGCACTTCTCCATAGTAGGGAAGTGTAAGTAAACTATTTTTAGCAACCTGTCGGTCCGTCGGTCTGTGTGTGCACACGTGTATCTCAAGTTCTGCTGAACCGATTTTGATGAAATTTTATATGTAAGTTTATTTCCACCATGGCACGGATTGATCAACTTTTGGGATATATCAGGCCTCGGGAACTGCACTTTTTAGCGGGCCTGTTTTACATTTTTGAACATTTTGAGGAAAGTATTCAACCGATTTACTTGAAATTTCATATATAAGATTTGCTCGATCGTCCGCGAAAATTCGTATGTTTTGGAAGAAATCGGGCATTGGCAACTAGTCGTTTACTACGGGCCAAATATTCATTTTTGTGTATAAAAAGAGAAATAACCAACCGATTTCATTGAAATTTAATATATGAATTCCTCGTATCAAAACAATGAACATATAAATTTTTTGGAAAGATCAGTGCTCGAAAACTGATTTGCGGGTCGATTTCACATTTTTCACCATTTTGAAGAAAATATTTCACCGATTTACTTGAAATTTCATATATGTGCTTTGCTCGACCGTCAGCGAAAATTTCTAACTTTTGGAAGAAATCAGGCATCAACAACTGGATGTTTACTACGGGCCAAATATACATTTTTGTGTATATAAAGAGAAATAATCAACCGATTTCATTGAAATTTAATATTTAAATTGCTTGTATTAAAGCAATGAACATGTAAATTTTTTGGAAAGATCAGGCATCGACAACTAGACGTTTACTACGGGCCAAATATTCATTTTTGTGAATATAAAGAGAAATAACCAACCGATTTCATTCAAATTTAATATAAGTATGAATTTCCTCGTATTAAAACAATGAACATATAAATTTTTTGGAAACATCAGGGCTCGAAAACGGATTTGCGGGCCGATTTTACATTTTTCACCATATATACGGAACGAATTGATGGGATTTCATGAAATTTGATATTTGAGTTCTGGACATTACCAAAACTAACTGGTGGGCATTTCAGGGAATTCGGATAGCACAAAACGAAACTGTATTAAGAGCCAAATTTACATTTTTCTAGGTATGTTAACTATAAGCTTACAAATGTTCTTAAAATTGGAAAGAAGTACTTAACAGACATTTTTTTAATATTCTGTAACACTTTCACTCAACTAGACAATACACAATGCGGTCGGTTATGTGCAGACCACATCAGATTTTTTTGTATTGTTTTTTTTTTTTAAATAAACCCAAAATTTAGAAAAACTTTGATTTAAAACCCGCTATGGATAAATGTGGGTAAATTTTTGATTCCTTAAGCAAGTTTACCTTTCAGCGTGTTGTTTATATGCGCGTCCGGCTGTACAATGTATGTTAATATTAAAATTGTAAATGTAGACGATTACTTTAATTTAAAATCACACGCATTTAATTTATAAATAAAATATAATATATGTATAAACTCATGAAATTTATACATGCATACATAAATAATATATAACATATATCTATATAAAATATACATAATTTAAAAATATACATACATACATAAACATGGAAATAGTGTTTA